ACAGAACGGGTTTGGATTGACCGGCCATTATGTCGGTTAAGGGTATTCAAAATCAAGAGAACGCAATAAATAAGGATATGATATAGGAAGAGGGCGCGCTTCTCTTAGCGGCCGGGCGACAGGAGAAATATTGAGCGGGGCTCTACACTGCTTGGCTCCGAACAACGGAGAGAGTGGAATGAAATAGAGAGCACAATGGGGAAATGTATAGAGATGATGGCCAGACCGAAGTCACCCGAACAAAAAAAAAAAAGAAAAAAGACCGAGCCCATGAGCCGGAATTCACAAATGCACCTCGGCGTTTATCACCTTAAATCGAGCCGAGGTCCACTTCGGCGCTGTTGAGGCTTATGTCATGATCATTACATCATGTGTTTATTTTCACTTCTATGCTAGTTTCTACTTTCTAGTTTCTAGTACTTTGTATAACTTATTATTATATTGTGTACAATCATTTTCAATATAATAACTGTTAATAAAGAAATTAATCTCTACAAATGCAAGTCCCGGAATCTTCACCGGAATTAATAATGTAGGGGGTGGTCCTCTCTCGGCTCAGCCGAATCCGGTAATTTACTTGCTGTTCGATCTGATTACACCCTACTCCACGACTACCGGTCAACGAGATGTCTAGACCTGCACCCACACAATCCTATATATCTCAAGCATTGGTATTTTTATTTTTCATCTACAGTTGAAAGAAAAAAAAAGCTGATGACTCGATAGAGCGCTGAAGAGGCGGTAGCCACAGCCACCTCCCAGAAAGCGGCATTGGAGGCAGCCATCAATGCCGCGGAGCATTACATGAAAGCGCTGCGCCTGGCGCCCGCCGACGATAAAAAACACCTCGACACAAAATGCAAACAATTGCTGTCCAAAGCCGAGAAGATCAAGGCTGCTGCTGACTGGAAGTCGGTTGCTCGTGCGGGGCCCCAGAAAGCCTTCCCTAGCTTACGGCCACCCGCATCCACGCGGAAGCTCACTACCCGTGAAGAAATCATCCTCCTCGAAGGCGCCAAACTTAACGGTTATATCTTTCCACCATGGAGTCGCGCACCGCCTCAGGATGAATTTGAATATAAAGGGCAGCCTTTTACGTATGTGGAAAATATCACCCAATCCTGATTTTGTTCTAACCCCGTATAGGGACGCGCCTGATTTGCACCTCTCTGAATGCCAGAGAGAAATTTTCGCAGGCTGGAAACGACCGCTTGATTTGTTACGGACAAAGAATGCGGCTAATCAGACACACGATGAAATTGATCCAGCTATGTCGACTTCAAAAGAAACAGATCTCGTGCAGGACGTCTTAACAGACTGTTCAGTGGTCGCAAGCCTCTGCGCCACAACATCTCGATCGGAACGAGGTTTAGGACAGGTATGGACTAATTTGATTCTACATCGAGGAGTCCTCGAAGCTAATTCGAACAGCATGCATCGCCGACACTGTACCCATGCAGTGAGGATAAGAACCCGATACTTTCGCATTCTGGGAAGTACATATTTCGCTTCTACTTTAACGGATCTTTCCGAAAGGTAGTGATAGATGATAAATTGCCGTCATCGAATACTACACGCTCACTCCATGTGATCGATCGCAATAACTCGAACTTTTTGTGGCCTGCTCTTGTAGAGAAGGCCTACTTGAAGGTCCGCGGAGGCTATGATTTCCCAGGAAGTAACTCAGGGACCGACCTTTGGGTACTTACTGGTTGGATTCCAGAGCAAGTCTTTTTACACCACGACGATTCGACCTCTGATGAGATCTGGGGACGTTTATACAGTGCCTTCTGGCATGGCGATGTGGTTTTGACTATCGGCACTGGGAAATTGACTGAACGGGAACAACAAGGTCTGGGGCTAGTGGGAGAGCACGATTATGCTATTCTGGACTTGAAGGAAGTCCAGGGTCGTCGCCAGTTTCTTTTGAAGAACCCGTGGGCTGGTGCGGAACCCAACATACAAAGCAATCTTGCGGCTGATCTCCGCTCACTCGGCGTGAATGATAAACCCCCCCTCTCTCCAGGGACGTTTTGGATGGATTGTGAACAAGTTCTCTTAAATTTCGAGAATCTTTACCTTAACTGGAATCCCGGTTTGTTCAAATACCGCGAGGACATCCATTTCACTTGGGATTTGTCGCATGGCCGAGTTATCGCCGGCTGCTTCGTGAAGAATCCCCAATTCTCCATCTCCAGTGATTCGGGAGGAACGGTCTGGCTGCTTCTCGGAAAGCATTTTAAGACAGACCATCAAGAATTCAGTTCTGGGGATTCGGAAAATGAAATAGGCTTTATTAGCATCTACATTTTTCAAGCGAATGGCCGAAGAGTGTCTCTCAGCGACGGTGCGCTGCATCGCGGACCGTACGTGGACTCTCCCAACACGCTTATGAGGCTGGAAATGCCTCCCAAGTCGACCTACACCGCAGTGGTCTCGGAGCAATCACTCCCATCATCCACCCAGAATTTTACTCTCTCTGCATTTTCAACCGGACCTGTGGCCGTGGCACCCTCGCTAGATAAATATCTATGCTTGACTAAGGCAAGTGGTTCCTGGACAGCAATGACAGCGGGCGGGAATGCCGAATCGCCTCGGTACCACTCCAATCCACAATTCAGTATACGAATTTCCGAACCGACAGATGTCTCGATCTTGCTCGAGACCACTGAAGCGGAGCTAGCGACCCACGTAAAAATCTTCTGGTCAAACGGGCAGCGTGTATCGCGCGTGCGAAGCCGAGACATCATTGCAGATAGTGGCGATTATCGCCGCGGATGCGCGCTGGCCGAGACCAGATCCCTGGACAGAGGCACCTACACCATAGTCTGCTCCACCTTTGCACCTGACCAGCTTGGCCGCTTCACGCTATGGATTTCATCCACGATCCCGTGTGTAGTTCAGCCCTTGGTTTCCGAGTCTGCTGGGCGGCGCGCCGTCCTATCCGAAGTGGGTGTTTTGTCTCCGGGTAAGGACCGGATGATAGCCTCGCTGCGGGTCTCTCGTTTGACACGGATCCGACTTATTGCGCGAAATAAGCGGTCCACAATCGGCGCTCGTGTTGTTGCTCCGTCTCCTGTGCTGATGACCGTGGAGCTGGGACAGGGGCCATACAAGGAGATATTGGCCACGTCAGAGGATGGAACTCATAGTGACGCTGCGTCTGGGGTACGAGTTGAAGATTTCGATTTGCTACCCAATGCTGAATCACGCTATGTATGGATTGTTATTGAGCGCATTGGAGGTCCGGGAGGGCAGGTGGAGGATCATTTTGAAGTGGAAGCATTGGCGGAGGAGAGAGTGGAGATTGGAAAGTGGGCAATTGAAGATGAATGATACCAGGTACAGTCGGAAATACCTACATAGTACATATCATGAATTAGTTTGTAGTTTCATAGATCTCCAACTCGTTGAAGACCGGTCTGTTAGATAAGAACCGATAGCTCGGCCCCCGCACTCGGGCGGTGGGAACTCCGCGAGCTCCAAACGTCATTTGTTCACCACATGCATCTTCTCCTTAACACTACAAACATCCTGAACCATGACGAGTAACATACCGGCTGGACTTCGATCGGCAGATATCGGTCGATTTGCAATCAGGGCAGCTCAGATCGAAAAGGCCAAACCTGTGGTTGCCTACTGGTGTAAGTCGTAAGACCCCGCGTAGAGCACATTTGAGCTGATTGAACCCTAATTACATAGGCAATTTCCATATTGTGAACCAGATTATTGAAAGGGGTCTGCACAGTGCCGATGATGAGATCAAACTCTACACGACAAACCTCGTGGATAAGCTGGAGCAGGTGAGTCAGGCTCCCTACCCTCCTTCCCTTCCTAAGAGTCTATATTCCGCACTGTGCCCTTGAAGTCTAGCAACTGATGATATTGGGCTGAAATAGTTCAAAGTAGAAAATCCAGAGAATGATACAGTGACAGACACTGTTGCGGCGAGTGCCTATGTCGAACAATTCGGATTGGAGGTCTTCAGCCGTGCGGAGGCCGCTATGAACGCCAACAAAGTCACAAAGTGAGCTCTCCAAGTGGCTCTTTAAGCTACAATGGCTAATTATCTGAAAAGGCAAACGGGAGATACTTTCCTAGCAGCGGCCACGTTCCTTGAACTTTGTTCGATCTGGGGGCCCCTTGACCCAGAACTTGCTGGGCGGATCAAATTCGCCAAATTCCACGCGGTCCGGATTGTTAAGGCTCTCAAAGCCGGCGAAGATCCCAACGCGACAAATCCCGTGCCAAAGCAGGAAGAAGTCGTCGACGACCCGGACGTCCAGGCATTTGATGAGTCGGTAGCGGAGCAGGCTTCTCGGCCAAGACAAGCCTCTATCGAAGAGATCCCAGACGAGTCCGACCGACTTGGACGAGAGCTAGCTCGGAAATCGACTCTTGATGAATCCCTTCATCCATCACGCACATCGTCAATGCCTCGTGGCCCGCCCGAGATCCCTTCTGTCCCTCGCAACGCACCTGGTTCTCCTCTGCAACCGATGGATGTTGATGAGACCAATACAGGCGGCTTAGATCTCCCATCAACTCCAGCAACCATTGGCGGTTCGTCCTCAGTACCTAGGCTTCCAGATACCCCGACTGCATTCCAGTCTTTCCCTCCACCGTCCGAGGAACCATCCGTCTCCACGCCAGATCCAGCTTCGTTCTACGATACCCCAGGTCCCAGTGCTCCCATCCCGCCCCCGGTTGCTCCGGCATTTGTTCCGTCCCCAGCTGCCAACGTCCAGGCTGCACCGGCTCCCTATATCCCGTCGCAACCATCACATGGTTTAGATGATGACACTGTGCAGTTGGCGCAGAAGCATGCTCGCTGGGCGGTCTCTGCTTTGAATTTTGACGATGTTGATACCGCTATTAAGGAGCTTAGGAACTCGCTGAAGTATCTAGGCGCATCATGATTCTATAGGCTTGTATGATTTTCACCTTTGCTTACTCTTGCGGTTGTTAGAGCACTATGAATATACCTTGCTTTGGCTATTATGAAATGTATTGGATTTGACCAGTGTAACTCTATTGTGCTCGATTTGATCTGTCTCATGTTTGCTTATCGCGAGTTTCCATCTGAGGTTCCACTGGGAGGTGGACGTAGGTGGGTTGACCGGTGGTTTCCTCGAATCCGTTCAGAGACTCGCTTCCATTAGAAAATTAATTCCATCACATGGTTGAAAGGGGTACGCAAGATCGGGTCCACTATCCGACTCCACCGTTCCAAGATTCGGAGAGGTCTGAATGTGGGATTGGCCCCGTGCTTAGATTACCAAGAAAAGTCCGAAATATAACCTAAAGTGTCGGTGGATCTGGATGTTGTCTCTTGGATTGATACACGAGTTGTATGGATGTATCAAAAGGTCGAAAGGTCTTATAGAAATTACCCTACACTCGCTTATATTATAGCTGGTCTAAGTTGTGGATATGGTCTGTGCTTTGGTGCATTTCTTGGGAAAATTGTCTCACTGTATACCTTAATCTCAACTTGATTGCAGAAGAGATAACTGTATTTACCAACCAGTGTTAGCTACACAATCATTTGAATACCACTAGAGATCTCTTATACCTGTTAACATATATATGCAACCGTGCACCCTCGCTTTTTACACCTTTGGTTTTGATCGATACCAGCTTGGTCATGAAATTGAGTTTTGTATTAAAGTTTAGATTCTCTAAATAGCCAAATATATATTCCAAAGTTATTATTTCACCAACTACTTGAACTCGTTCTACAGACCACGAGATCTACCCATTGGTATCTTGTATAAGGACCCCCAGCGTGTGGTATGACCAGAAAAGGCATAGACTGTGCCACAGCGCTCTAAAATCTGGTTTTAAAAGAAAATTTGCTGACATCTACCTGGAATTGCGATATTCCTCTAATTTTAAACTACCTTTTGTTCCATATGTCCATTTAGCGGCCCTTGAGAGAGGCTCCTAATCCTATAGAGTTGGACGTGGGCAAGCAAGAGCCGCTCACCCTCTTCTCTTAGTTTCCTCGCTGTTCGATTCTGTGCCGTGTTCGCAAGATCGCGCCCCGCCCCATCAACAAGGTGCCCCGCCCTGGTCCTTTTGTCCCCTCCCCGATTGTATGCAGTGCCCGAAGACCCCTGCTCGTGGAGTTTCAACCCCAACTATTAGAATAGTTCGTCTTAAAGAGCAGTATGTACGACTGCAATTTTAAATGGGAGTAATATCCCAAAATTGCTCTTGGTGACTCCATGTAACACCTGTACACATATTGAATGGCTCAACTCGCAACACTCTAGTTATTTATTTAAGCCCAAGATCATGCCTAGCAGTTATTCTATGGAAAATTACTAGTATTGCAATAACAAAAACAAATTTAACTTAGATGGATATCGAGTCTAATTAAGCATAGAAAAGGCTTATCATCGCATCTATGGTTCGGGTGATCGGAAACCCAGTACCATGGGACCAACAGACTGATGTATTTGGGACTATACAAAGTATACACAAAGAAGACATTGAGAAGACATTGAGAAGACATTGAGAAGACATTGATTTGGTGTCACATAGTACAACATACATGTGTAAAATGGGCCTTCAAGTAAAATGAGTGGAATCCTAACCTTGCACTAATCTCACTAACACCCACTATCTCCCCTCCGACGTCACAGGTATATGCTGGTGTTTCCACTGTACTCCGTAACCCACTCGCTATCAACGTGGATTAACCGGCTTGGCAGGGGACATAATAATTTTGTTTTTTTCCCTTCTTTTTTTTTACTTTTCATTTTTTCAATCTAATAATAATTCTTCGGATTCTTTTTCTGAGTTTCTGTTTCCTCTTAGTCCCCTTTGCCCGTTTAGTCCGCCCCCTCCTTTCTCCCGTCCGTCGCCTTTCCCCCTTTCATTCTCCAGAACCTGCGGGGAGACCTTTTCTCTTCCATATTTAAGATGGCTGACGCCAAAAAACCCGCCGTTCTGATTGTCGGAGGCCTCGGTATGTCTTTCCTTGTCTTAATACTATTCCCTTCCGAACTGACATTCCTCGTCTTCAGGCTTCATCGGTCGACACCTCGCGCTATACATCCACGAGAACAACCTAGCCTCGGAAGTCCGCCTGGTAGACAAAGTCCTTCCACAATTGGCCTGGTTAGCCCCGGAATTCGAAGAAGCATGTTCAAAGGACAAGTTCGTCCAGGCAGATGCCAGCCGTGAACGTGAGTGACCCGACCCCAACCCCCCCCCCCAATCCAAAAACCAAATTCTTACATAAACCCCGATCCGCCCCCACAGAACATTTCCCGCGCATCTTCGACCGAGCCAATGGCGAACAATTCGACTATGTGATTAACTGCGGCGGCGAAACACGTCACTCCCAACCAGACGATGTCTACGAAGTGCGCAGCTACGCCCTCTCCCTCGCGCTCGGAAAGGAAATCGCCCGACGCGGTATCCCCGCCTTCATCGAGACCTCCACCGCGCACGTCTACAAGGGTGGCTCGACACCACGAAAGGAGACAGACAAGCTCGTCCCGTGGCACAAGCTGGCCGCGTGGAAACTCAAGGCCGCGGAGGAACTGCTTAAAATCCCGAACTTGAATTACTGCACCTTACGTCTGCCCCACGTCTACGGCGCTTATGACCCGGGCTACTTCGCCACGGGTATTTGTCTGTCTGCCGTCCACGTAGATCTCAAGCAGGAATTGCAATTCCTGCACACTAAAGACTTGAAAATTAATACCCTGCACGTTAAGGATGCTGCGAGCGCGTTGTTCGAGGCTGCTAAGTGGCGCGCCGCGAAAGGCTTCATCGATCCCAAGGATGGGGTTGTTGCTTTCAACGTTGTTGATCACAATGACACGAAACAGGAACATGTTGCTAATGGCTTGACGGAGGTGTTTGGCCTCAAGGTTGGGTTTGTCGGGTCGCTTGCTTCACAGCTCGCTAAGATGAATCTCGACGATCTCCTGGATGATATGAATGAGGTCGGTTTGCAGACTTGGGCTGAACTCATCGAGAGGGCAAATATCACGCGGCCTGGACCGATCAGTCCGTTCTTGGAGCGTGATATTCTCCGGGGTGAAGATATGTCCATTGACGGGTCGAAGTTCGAGAATGAGGTTGGCTGGAAGCCATTATATCCGACCTTCGGGGCTGATAGCATCCGTGAAATCGTGGATAGCTACAAGCGCATGGGCTGGTGGCCATGAGAGAGGATTCCATCGGGTTTCTGATCTTTCGTCTCTTCCCTTTTCTTGTTTCTTTTTTTTTTTTTTTTTTTTTTTTTCTTGAAGATATCCCGTCCGTCGGTTATTTTACTCTTTTCTATCTTTCTGTCTTTGTCTTTTTCCCCCATGATTCATTAACGGTCTTTCCCTACCTGATGAGGAAAATCGGTCACATTGCATTGTGTCTGAAAAATGATGCATTGAATCCCCCTACGACACGACCATCTCATGATCTGCATCTCCACACACTCTCCTGTCCACATCTCCTCCCCTCTCTCATCCCTCTTCAAGCTATGTATCCAGACAGACCTGCCTAGCATCGCTAGATGTGAATTGACCTTGTACTGTAATTGATAATCGCTGTTATATTGGGGGGTTTCTCTTATTGCTTTCTGCATATATGTTTCTCTACCGGTTTCTTCTCTTCTTACTTTTTGCATGGCCCTGCATTGGTAGCATATTGAGCCCTTCTCTCGTTTTGATATACTATTTCCATCTCAATGTTTTCTTATGTAGGTTTGGACTAGAAATTTGGCGCTAGGCCTATTCTTGTGCATCATCATGCATAGACCCTGCAGATATGTTGTGCAGGTTCCACAGAGGATATATCCACAACCTCGGCCTAAGAGCTACCTAGGTATATTGGCCTATATGTCACCGCGCAATAAGTACTAGGTTGGACTGCGAGTGGGAGAGAATGGCCTATGACAAATTTTGAATAGAAACAATTGAATGAATTAATTCGAAACTTCTAACCCTGTGACCGAAATGACGAAGAGCAGCGGAACAGAAACTGTGCAAGATGTCCGACTGCTATGCATGAGTGTGTGTGCATTGAACGAGCCACCCAGCCAACCGAATCGATGGGTCTTTTGTGATGTGATTTTTTTTTTGTTTTTTGTTTTTTTTTCCCCCTCGTGTATACTTGTGTATACCGATCATATCGTACCCACGGCCGCCACTAATGCAGGCTCGCAATCTGAGCCAAGCCACCACAACGAAAATCATGAAAAATGCCATTGTCATCGTCAATTCTTTCTCAAGCACGCAAATGCAACCAGGGATTCGAATAGATCAATGGGTAGATTGGAAAGAATCATTTGACAAACAAAAGAAAGCCACCTCGTCTTGCCAAGGCAGACTGGGGGAAACCGAAAATATAGACGAAGAAAGTAATGTGCGCAAAAGACAAGGAAGGCAAGCGAGTAACCAAGGGGATGGGTGGTAAGTTAAAATTCCCAGTCCTCCTCAACAGACTTGATGGCCCACTCGAACTTCTCACGCAGCGCCTTAGAGAAGAACTTTTCAATGGGGACATCGTACTTCTTGCTGAAGACAACAGTGAGCCGTGGATCAATGTAGTTCTAATGAGTGAGAATAATTAGCTGGTGACATTGTAGGAATGAGACGGGGAAAAGAAAAACTCACAATCTTCGAGGTACCTAGGGCAACCTCTTTGTTGTCTTCCTTGTCCTGAGCCTGGACGGACATCGTTTCGACTCGCTGATCGATCTTAGCGATGGAACCCTCGAGCTTTTCAACCGTTGCGCCTCTGGCCTCGACCTCGACCTTTCCGGTTTTGTTCTCCTTCTTGAACTTCTTCTCCATCTCCTTCACGACCTGCAGACGCTCCTCGAGCTCGGAAACCTTCATTTCCTTCTCGCCGTCAGCAACGCGCTTTTCGTTGTCCTTCTCGAACTTCTTGGAGATTTTGGTTCTTTGCTCCTCCATCAAAAAGGCCTGGTGTTCTTCGATCCATTCTTTGTCAAGATCCTCATCGATTTCGAAGAATGCCGCACCCTTCTTCTTCTTTAGAGTTGGGTCCAAGTCAAGCATTTGCTGCTTCAACCGCCACTTCTGGTATCGGAGGCCCTTGATCTGCATAGTCAAACATACATTAGCACGGTGCCTCGCGCCATGAGGGCGGAATAGAGAAAACCCACCCGTTCACCCATCTTTTCCATTGCATTGGCGTGGCCAGCAGTGACAGTACGCTTGTGGTTACACAAGATGGCAACCTTGCGGTTGGCATCGTTATATGCTTTCACCTTTTCGGCGATGGTACCACCGCTGGCATTCATCTCGTTGAGAACGCAACCCATGGTGTAAGACGCGTTGTAGGTACGGAAAACCTTGGCGGTTAGACCTTGCATGTAGTTGGCAAGATGCTTATTGAGGGCAGAAGTCTTTTATTTGTCAGTGAGAATCAATATTGGAAGGAAAAAAGGAGCACATACCGTAAGGCGGTCGAAAATTTCATCACCGTTCTTCTTGGGTGCCTTTTTGAAGATCTTCAGGTTCTTGAAGACTTGCAGATCGACCTGCACCTCATCGTAGAACCGAATACTATCTTTACCCAAGAAATCGAAGACGACAGTATTGGGGGGTTTTAGTGTAACATTCTCATACTTCAGAGAACAGCAACCGACGGTTTCAGCCTCGTCTTCACCTTTCTCATTTCCGGCACGCAGGGCGAACTGATCAATGAGATAGACTGCCGTGGCCTTCTGCCGTTCCACCATCATGTCATGTTTGAGGTTCTTCTGATAATCCTTGCGGATTTTCTCAATGTGCTTCTTGAGTTCACGGGCTTTCTCGAATTTCTTGAAATCGCTTTGTCCCTTGACATCGGAGTTGGCGGCTAGCATGACGTACTTGTAATTGCCATTGATATTTTCCTGCCACATGGCAAGCCAGGTGCCTTCCTGGTCGTGCTTCACTTCCTTCCACTTGTGGCCGGGAGGTGGCGGTGGGACCTTCGCATCTTTTCCGATGTTGATCGTGATTTGTTCAGGTTGCACACGGGTTTTCACACGTCCGGTCTTTGGGTGCTCACCGCGGCCACGGAACAGAGAAGGCGGCTCCACACGGAAGTTGCCCACCTTCTGCTTGCGACCATCCCACACACAGAACTGGTAGGGAGCTTCCTGTTCATCCTTCAAGGCCTTAGCAGCCTTCTTCTCGGCTGGTGGCAGGTGCCTCTTTTCTTCGCGCTGAGCATCGTAGAAATCAAAGATAGGCTTGAAGTCGCATTTTGCGAACTCCTTGATGTCTACCTTATTGCCCTTAGAATCCTTCGCTCCGCCGCTCTTCTTGATGGCCTCCTTGAAGTCGCCGAAGAAGTTCTTTTGGAACACAGGATTTTCGACGTTGTGCGTTGAGTTAAGCATGGTACCGAAGAAGCTAGCAACCTCTTCGGCTTCGGGTTCAAGAGAGACCGGAACACCGTCATATTTCATCTTGACATTCTTAGGCAGCAGTTCGTATTCGGGAGGGAACACCACGCCATTATGTTCGAGAGTGGTCCACTTGATGGTTCCATCGCCCTTGCTATGGTCTTCCCACCAGCGGTACTCTTCCTCATCCTCCTCTTCCTTTTCTTCGGCGTCCTGGCTTTCTGCCTTCACCTTGGCTTTGCCATTTTTCGCCGAGGCAGGTTCAGCCTTCACCTTCTTGGGAGCAGCTTTGCTGGTGGCCGGCTCTTTCTTGACGCCGTTTGCCTGTTTCTTGGCCGCTGCCGGCTTAGCCTCTTTTTTTGGCGCAGCAGGTTTGCGCGCAGGTTTAGCCTCCTTCTCCGCCGTTTGTTCAATCTTCTTCTTTTGTGCGGCAAGCTTCCGTTCAATAGGAACGTCGGAATCAGACTCGTCCCCGATGGATGTTTCGGCGGCCTTGGGAAGTTTGCGCCCGTTGCGTGCCAAGGGCACATCGTCATCGGTCTCGGGATCTTCATGTTTCACAGATGTACGCCGGCGTTTGCTCTGTCGAATGGTCAGACGCTTCAACCGAAAGCGACAGTATGGTCGCACTGGGAGTAACAAGGGTCATCCCGCGATGGGGGTAGGCGTACCAAAGGCTCATCTTCTTCGCTGCTTTCTGCTTCTGCATAGGACTTCTTTTCGCCTATACTGGTCCGAGATTTGCGCTTAGCGGCACCCAGCGCGTCTTCTCCATCTTCCATCTTCACATCCTTGTCTTCCACAGGACCGAATCGAATGGATATTCCAGGATCAACATGGCCGTTTGTGGCGGGGCTAGAGTCCGCCATTTTGACGACGTCGGGAGACTTTGGGGAAACTAGAAGTGTGGAAGAGCTATGTTAGATTGTCGTTCGAGTTAATGTTGGAGGTGTGAGGGAAGTGACGTCGAAGTGCAAGATATAAGACCGAGCAATGATAGGAAAAGTACAATTGTGTAGAGATTAGAGGAGACATAGAAATGAGAAGATCAAGTGCAAGGAAAGCGAAGGTTCGCGACAAATTGTAGAGGGATGTAATGACAGCCGAATCACCCGAGGAACGCACCTTTACCACGTCCATTGGCGCGCATGAGGGGTGCGTCATCCTCGGAGGAGCTCATGATGGTAGTCCTTGGACTAGTAAAAGGGAGACGAGGGTAAAATGAGAGAAATCGTTGTTTTGATAAGGGGAGGCGTCCTCGTGCGCCGAGTCGGGCAAATTGAGCGGCCTGGTAGAAGGAGGAAAGCAAAGAAATTCTGACCAATGAAGAGTAAGAATATGGTTATAAGATATGCTGCATTAATGATACATGCATAGAGGTGATGTTGCGGGTAGATCCGGAGGAACAGAGACGAGAGAAGAGAAAAAGAACGTGAGGAAAGAGAGAAAGAGGCTGGGGAGACTTGGAATGGAGGAATGCAATGGGAAAAGAGGCCCTGAGGGACTACAACGTATGCCTGAGGCGTCAAGTGATGTTATGTAAATACTTGTATGCCTGAGGCATCACTGCGGTGGAAGTCGGAATGGCGCACCGTAGATGCTTGCCCCTTTTGGTTTAGCGGCAGCACGGAGACAGAACCTCCCTGGTTCTCAACTTCCTTCCCGACCAGCGAGGCATCCCCGTCTAACCTTCGTCACTCCCCTCCTCTCCGCAGTCACTATCTGCTCGTTCAATTTCTTCTTTAAATCTCTCGCATAATGTTCTCCCGTGCCGTCCGCCCGGCCCTGCGGGTTGGTGGTGCCGCCGTCGCTCGGTAAGTCTTCATCCGATACCTCGTGCCAAAGTCCTTCCACCCGACGTACTCCAACGCAACCACCTCGAAACCATTGAAACTGGAAAATATGCTGGATGTTAGAGGAGGCGAGAACGACAATTGCTGACTGCGAAATCAAGCCCTGCCCCCGCCAATGCCGCCACCTTCGCGACTCTGCGTGAGATCGAAGGTCGTCTCAAGTCCATTAAGAACATTGAGAAGATCACCAACACCATGAAGATTGTTGCGTCCACTCGTCTTACTCGTGCCCAGAAGGCCATGGACGAATCCCGCGTCTATGGTAAGACCTCCAACACCGTTTTCGAGCAGGCCGAGACCAAGCCTCTGGAGGACAAGAAGGTTCTTCTGGTTGTTGCCAGCTCCGACAAGGGTCTTTGCGGTGGTATCCACTCCGGTCTGAGCAAGGCCACCCGCCGTATTTTGGCCGAGAACCCCAACGCCGACGTTGCTATTCTCGGTGAGAAGGCCAAGGCTTCGCTCTCCCGTGTCGCCCCCGAGAACATCGTCCTGAGCTTCGCCAATGTCTGCAAGGACATCCCCACCTTCGCCGATGCCCAGGCCATTGCCGACCAGATCGCTCTCCTGCCCGAGGATTACGCCAGCGTTCGCATCATCTACAACTCTTTCGTCAACGCTCAGAGCTACGAGCCCGTTACCATTGAGGCCTACTCCGAGGAGGCTATCACCCAGTCCGGTGAGATTTTGTTATGCCCAAGCAATTCATTGAGTTTCAACTAACATACAACGTAGCCAACATCTCCTCTTACGAGGTTGACGATGAGGTCCTGACCAGCCTCCGCGAGTACGCTCTTGCCAACAACCTCTTCTGGGCTATGGCTGAGGGCCACGCCTGCGAGATCTCCGCTCGTCGCAACGCTATGGAGAACGCTTCCAAGAACGCTGGTGAGATGATCAACAAGTATGTTTTACCTCCAATGTTTTCAAGATTCGTCTCTAACAGCCCTCTAGGTTCCAGATCTTGTACAACCGTCAGCGCCAGGCCACCATTACCGGCGAGCTGGTTGAGATTATCACCGGTGCCACCGCCAGTGCGGATATGTAGAAGCTTTCTTCTACGGGACCAAGTCGGCTTTAGTGTAGACTTGTTCATATTTAGATCGACCTTAAGCTTGTGTAAAATCAGAGTCAATCCATTTCCATTTCATATGTACAGACTTCTCCCTTGAGTATAGCTCCGATCTAGGTCGACAAACAAATCGGATGAGTTCTACTATTCAATGGGTCCCTGAGACTATCTAATTCATAGCCTGTACTTGAATGGGATCACCTGTATAACCCTAACCTTGGAGGCGACTAGTACCTTAAGGGTCATCTTCTTTGTTTGACTTCTGCCATCCCATGTAATCATTGGATGACCATTGGACTATGCCTTTTATAGCTTATTTCTCGTCAATGGGAGCTGGTTCTTTGTTCAATGGGATTCGGTTTACAATAGCATTATCTACAATAGGATTTCCTCATCGCCATCATACTTATACCCAGTTCTTCTCTTCCTCTCTCTCTTCCTCTCTCTCTTCCTCTCTCTCTTCCTTCTCCATAATCTCTTTCTTGCTCCTGCTGTTCTTAAATCTCATACTGAAGCTCCTACGTCTTTGTTCTTTATTTCACTCTTCATCTTCCTCTGGTGCTCATACTCTTGTTTTTTTCCTATCCTGATTCTCCTCTCCAATCTCATACTCCAGTCCTGTCCCCCTTTCTCGGGCCTGTACAATTGCTGGTCTTGCCAACTTAATTTTCTACGCTTGTGCGGTAAGTTTTGATATCGTCGCCATCCCAACGGTTTTTTCGGGGATGTTTCCCACTCCTTCCTCACCGGCGGATATGTCCTGATTACCTACATGCCTTCATATTGATCTCACATTACTCTCTCTGTCTCTCTCGTTCCATCTGCCTATTCAAAGACCGGCAACGAATAATTATTTTCAAGCCAACACCCACATATAACAGAACACTGACATCTATTTTCAAGACTTGTGTGACGGCAAACATGTCGACCGCCAATGTGACGATTGATGCCTACACGATTCTAGGCGTTGAGCGAGATGCCAAACTCCCTGACATCAACATTGCCTACAAACGCCTTGCCTTGAAGTTCCATCCAGACAAGGCTGGAGATTCCCCGGCCACCATTGACCGATTCAGAAAAGTACGTCTACAATACCAGGAATATGGAGTTGCTGAAAATCACTGACAAGCCATTTAAAACAGATTCAAGATGCTGTTGAGGTTCTCCGTGACCAAGACCGTCGGCACTTGCTTGACGAAGCCCTGAAAAAGAAAGCCAAGAGACATCTAGACCCCGAGGATGACACATCAGCTTGGGCCTACAAGCGCAACCACACTCGTCCCTCAAAGCGAGAACGCCATAGATATGATTTCTTCTATTGGCCGGGCCTATTTCCAGAGTCAGCATCCAGACATAGCCCAAGACATCAACGCCAGCACACCTTTAGCTACTACTACAGTTATGGAACAAGTGTGCACATGGACCCAGAGTCCGCCGAATCCAGGGCCAAACGAGCCCAATTCCAAGCGGAGAATATCCAGTGGGAGAATGAGTGGGCTGGTGTTGATCCGGAAATGCAGAAGGCACGAGCAGGGCTCCGCAAGGAAAACATGCGAGCTCGAATGAAGCGTGACCGAGAAGACTTGGCGAATGACCAAGACGAAGATACCAAATATGCCGATATAGTTGACCCGGTTGTCGAAGGAGTTTTCGACGAACTTGACTTCGCTTGTGGTCATAAGTTGCATGATTTTGTGCATGTCCTGCCTGAAGAGGATATGAAGACATGCAACCCAGCTGATACATTTGACGAATTTTCCTATGAATACGTCAAAAAGTTCCGTTCCGATTCCGAGGGTCCCGTTCACTCGGATTGCGCTTCAACTCCTCCGTCTACCGCTAGCGACAGTTCGTCCTTTGACTTCTCAGCAAGTAGCAACTTTACCGACTACACCCATTCAGCCAACAATCACTCGAATTTCAAGTCCGCCACCGTTGAGGATGACGAATCTACCAGTGACTATTCCAAATCTGATGTTGACAAACTCATCAACTCCTACATGGTGGGTCATGATTCATTGCTCCCTCTAGTTTCATTCCTCAGGCAGAAGCTCGCCGATCCCAATGGACGCTACACCCTCAATGACCTCGGCGGTGAGCTCAATGGCCTTATTCTGGAGACCTATTGTGGCTGGTTGGAAGAAGTTCGTCTTTCAGTCCCGAATGCCTCGCCATTTACAGTTCGAAATGATCCTAAGCTTTGCTCCCACCTTGGGCTATGGTACAAGGATTTCTGCCGTCTCGTGTGCAATGTTTGCAACTTGTGGATGCCCTCTTTCACCCTCACCTGTCCTGGCTGTGGTATGAAGGCCTGTGTCAGGTGTAAGTTCGATGACGGTTATGATTCTCTCTCGGCGTCTGTTATGCAGGAGCAATGATTGATCCCAAGTTGGATCACATGTGTTTTCTGTTCTGCTTTTGTTTCTCTTTTTTTTTGTTCGGTCTGGATTCTCCAATGTGGTTGGGAAAATGGCGACAGATACCTCGGGGGCCTTTTCGATCCTTTTTTTTATTTTTATTTTTTTTATTGAACTTCCGAAGAAAAAAACATCGCTTCCAACTGCACCAATCATTCTATTGAATTTAATGAATCTGGGCCAAGAGACCACTTCCTTCTCATGCACAGATACTATCCTTTGCTGGATATATATCTGATACGCTAGTACATTCCCCTCGAGTTCACTTCTAATTCTACCCTACGTTCTCCTTCTACGAGACGAGTTTTCCTCTTTGTGTTTGATTCGACCGAAACAAACAATAGAAATTACTTCTCAGCCACTTCATAGTCGAATAAAGTTGATGATTTTATTGTCTTCCGGGTGCCGCTGCGGCTAGTTTATACGATTTGTTGCGAGCATCAAAAAACGGAGACGGACACACATCTGCCAACAAACTATCATGGAGATGCCCTCCTCGCCCACGAACAGGGCTTTGCTGGAACCCCCAACGGTGCCTCAGACCGGAAGTTGACGGACCCCTGGGAGATTGAACCCCCATGTGTACTGACCCTATGCGGGCTTGTTGCGTCCCCCGCCCTTCCTGGGCCTCCATCTTCTCCATCTTCTCCAGCTTAACTGTGAGCTCGTTGAGCTCACGACGAAGGTTCTGTATCTGGTTTTGAGTGAAGTGTTGTCATCCACTTTTACTGGCCTGGCGCTCGGTCTTTCCTTTCTGTCACCGGTCTGAGACACCGTAAAGCTTCTCTCAGTTGGAGGGAAGCGAAGCGAATCGTACATATACGTCATGTTCCAAGGAAATTGCCCCGATATGCTCGTTTGACTAGTCGAAGTGCTCCATGAACTCGAAGAGGTAGATACAGTCTGAGATGGCCGTGACTGTGGCCTAGTTGAGTCTCATGGGTCCGCTTTTGGACGACCTTAAGCTTGTCTAGATAGGTATCCAGATAGGTATCCAGGTAGGTGTCAGGTAGGTGTCCAGGTGGGTACCATGTTCAATCTCGACCCCGCGTACATGTGTGTCCACTCAAGCTCAAGATTCACATTTTGCTTGAGAAAAAAACGAAGATGGGTAGCCACGTGGGGAGAACTTTTCTCGACAAGGGGGATGTGACGAGGTGAGATGGAGTTTTGTGATGAGATGAAGAGAATTCAAAGGAAGAAAAGACGGGGTGATGGGTCGGTTTTGTGTGTTCTGAGGGAAGGTATGAGTACCTGCGGCTCCTACCTACGTTTAGGTGACAATTCAATTTTTGACAGGGGTCAATAGCCTCATCTCATTACCTGGCTATGAGGTGATATAACGCTTATTCTTTATAAAATCCTTTTAATGTTACTGTGTCTCTTAATATCGAACGCACTTTAACTCCGAAGTGAATGCTATCTGAGGGATGAAAACCTTACAACGCCTTCTCCAGTCAATTGAATCGTCACTTCTGGACTGTATATAATTGCCAAGGGAGGTCTACGTTGAGGTGCATGGTGAATGTAAGATTGATTGATTATTAAAGAAATTAGGCTACAGAGACTAAGAAATCCAATCCCACAAGTAGTTATAGAAAACTAATTACGAGACTAAGGAATTGACAATAACGCCACACATGGACCATCAATGAGTGATCTACCAGGAGGCGCCTAGAGATTCTAGTCAATGGAGCGGAAGCACTATCAAATGACAGAATGAATACGAAATGTAGCTTCTTATCATCTGTTCAAGGGCAGCGAGAATCAACTTACCAGAGTGGCACTTCGGAATTACTAGAGGGTTGCCACAGAAATCTGATCAGATATAAGATATGGCCGAACGGCGTAGTAAAGATCGTAGGAATTCAATTCCCCTTCCCCTTTTCCTTGAAGGATCTTTGTATGACATATACCAAACATTTAGCCCTGCTGCAATGAAAGGCATGACATTTTTGTATTGTTGGTCTTTGAGATAGGAGAGGTTGCGAGACTGCAAGTCCTTGAATGATTGAGGTGCATTGTCTTCAAAACACAAGCGGGGAATCGTTGTAAGCAAGTGCTCTGTATCATCTTCGTCAAGTCGTGGGCGGAGAGAATCGGGAAACCAGGCATGAGTCTTTCACAAGGGGTCCTCTTTAGTAAGGCAAGGGCCCAGATTGACCCATCTTGTCATGATGAGAGCAATGTTGGAGTCGAATTCACCAATTTCAATTTGGGTATCTGTGTTGCACATGTAACAGGTATAAGCCAAAGCAGCCTTCTCTCCATCGTGTAAGGATTCCACAACTGGGGTGGTAAGAGGAAGAAGATCGAGATGTGCACATATTTCCAAAGTGTACAAAGGATCCAAAGTCGATCTACGTCCTGAACGGAAAATCAATTCGTCCTGTGTTCCGACGAGAACTATGTCCTGCATCCTGATACAAAGACAAAGATGCTTAGAACATATTTGTGCTTCCGTTGAGAATAGTGAGATCATGCCTGGGCGAACTGACTGTGTAGGGTATTGGCGGACTTGTGTATAGGATAGAGAATCAATACTGATCCCCGACCTTGGACCATAGTAAAACCTCCTCATAGCAAGCTTAAGCTGGAGGAAAGAAAGATGGTTTGGTGAATGATCATGATCAACATGGGTTCTTAGAATTGAGGACCAGGCAAACCAGTGCAGGTCAAACCACTCCTCCTTCCGAACACATGGGAGTCGGCAAGTTCTTTCATGAACTAGTCCACTGAGCCCAAAACTTTCAGATCCATCATACCGATGAAGACGGTTGCAAAAATCGCAAGCGAAGTATTCTGGAAGATCTCGTTCCAATCGGTTTAAGATTGAGAGCTTATCGTCTTTTGTGCGAGGAGACAGTCAGTTTATTTGTCTCTGAGACAGTTTAAGGAGTCGATGATTGCAAAGAGAAAAGCAGATCAGATCAACAAGTGGAAGAAAGTCGGATATTGACAATAATAGCTCTGGGGGCAGTCCGGCGAGTGTAGTCATGCATGGGATCTTACAAAGACTGATCACCTGTGGGCGTCCAGGGGAAGATTTGATACGAGCTGTTAGAGAGTTCATAGTCAAAGCCAGGTGTTTTAAGTCAAACAAGAGGACCAAAGAAAGTATACAGAGTAAGGAGACCGGGACGCTGGATGTATGAATTAGAAAGAAGCTTCCAGCTTTCCAAGGTCGGTTCATCTATACTTAGTCCGATTCCCTTTTTGTGGTCCCGACCCGGACTGGGCCTCACCTCGTTCTAGTTGATCGTATCGCCTAAACAGGATATCTAAAAAAATAATACCTAAAATAATATTAGAGTGTTCTTACATATAACCTGATAGCCTTTGACTTAACCTATAATGTCACACATGGCCCATCAATGAGCGATTTACTAGGCCCCTATGAAGCGGACTATAGAATGACAGTACGAATATGGAATGTAGTCTCTTATTCTCTGTCTAACTGAAGGACATCTAGCTTCAATTCATTTATCAAACCGGTAAATCACTAGCTCTCGATTACAATTCTCGCCCACCAGATATCTCTCACAACCAGCGAGCTTCCCCCTGCCGACAAAATCCCAATTATCACAAGTGACGTTTGAGCGAGGTGTCTGGATGGTCAAATAGACAATCTGATCCTGGATCCACGTCCACGGATCGAAGTGAAGACAAAAGCCAAGATCAGGCTCGTGTACAGTCACTTGGGAAATGACACCAAACCAAGGATCTGTCATGATGAGCCCATCAGACCTCATACTCTCTGCCTGCATACTGCAGTTCCCACGGTAAGGCGGTAGAATCCCCTCGAAGTCCCGACGCCAATGAGGTCCATGTCCGACTAGAGGAATGCTCGTAGTGATAGGTCGAGGAAATCCGAATGGCTCAGGTGGTTGGTCTTCCGGTCGAATGCAAACGTTTTCTGTAATTTCGACTGCTTCGGCATCATCCGTAATTTCCAATCGTTGAATGCTGGGACAGCCTCGTTGTCGGACGTCAAAGAACTCTAGGTCCCGGAATCCGAATCGTGCCACGATTGACGGAGAGTTATCAGGGGAGTCATCTCTCAGTCGTCCTGTGGGATCCAATGAAGGTCGGTATGAGGATGGTTTCGATATGTCCCAGACAAACAAAGACTCAATGGGTGCATCTTCGTCGGCAGTGTACAAGCTGCGATTTGGCTGCCATATATAAATCACATAGTGAGTGTTGCTATGAGAGGAGAAGAATCGATCTCGCTCGCTCAGCGGATGTCCCAAAAACATAATCTTCCACTCATTGCGCGGGACAACGTTCCAGCCCTGATCCTCACTCCGCGTCACATCAAACGAAGACGCAAAGTGACGATGAACACCATCGCTATCATTCAACCAGTGAAAGGCCTTGGGTTCAGCCCACTCAATGACGAGCAAGCTTTTCTGTAGACGTACGCGACGAACGACCTTGCCACGAATAACAAATGGCACCATGAACTGTCGGTCCGTTTCCAAATCCATGAGCACAAGAAACTGATGATCGGCGCTGGGGTAGACCAGCAAACCATCCTCGAAAGTCCATAAAGCTTCAGAGAACTGTCGGTCAATAAAGCGCCTCATATGGCTGGCGTGTGACTCCCATGGCTGTACCTGATACCATTCCCGGTCTCCAGCGCTGCCAAAGTCATCGCAGAGGCGGTACTTCTGGATAGAGCGGGGTTTGCCTCGTTTTAGGTGATCGTATCGTGAAGCAACCTGGTCGAAAAGACGACAGCCCTGGTCTTGGTCTTCAGGCGACGTCTCTAAGCCTAAGCTTTTGACTTCTTCTGTCCATGGGAAATGTTTCTTTAGGAGTGGGAGTAGGATGGCCGGGTTGCTAAAGGCTTCGTTCCAGGCACGCGAGACACGGCGACATCGGACTAATTCATTTGGTTCTAAGTAGGCTAGGATCATCCAGAAGAGTTCACCAGGTAGGAGTACCACATCATGGCTCTCTTTTGATCTGGACATTGCTAGGTTGTGTGTATCAAAGAGAAAAGGTTCGGAATCTTTGGAGACGGACAAGTTCATAGGATGTTGATAGAAGGAATTATTTGGATAGTGTTCAAGAACTAGATATTTTGATATACTAACAATTATCATACTAATTCAAGACATATAATATGCTTGAAATATTTGATGCTCTAATATATTCACTACATAGTACCTCAAAACAGTATAGTCGTACCATCCGCACGCCAAGAGCTTCAGGACACCTTGCGTAATGTTTCGGACCATCTGTCTTTTCTTTATTCCGCTTTGGCTTCTTTGCTGAATCTCATCTCTGCCTTGAAATCACCAATTAGCCATGCTGCACAGCGCTAGCCTTTTGCTTGTGTCGCTCCTTGCGGCACTGCCTGTTAACGCCGATGGACTATACACCAAGAATTCACCGGTGATCCAGTTGAATCCCAAAACCTACAACTCGCTCATTGCGAATTCGAATCATACCTCGGTGAGTATCCATCATCTTTTTAAATGCGCAAAATTGTCTAATGGTTGGCTACTCCAATAGATCGTCGAGTAAGCTGTCCCGCACCATAGCTATCTAGCTATCTAGCTATCGAGCTCTCTGCCCCTCCCCTCCGACCTTCACTCACTCACACTTGTCACTTAGATTCTACGCGCCCTGGTGCGGCCATTGCAAGAACCTCAAGCCCGCCTTCGAAAAAGCCGCAAAGAACCTCGACGGACTCGCGAAAGTCGCCGCGATCAACTGCGACGATGACGCAAACAAACCCTTCTGCGGACAGATGGGTGTGCAGGGCTTCCCAACCCTGAAAATTGTGACACCTTCCAAAAAGCCCGGAAAACCCCGCGTCGAGGACTACCAAGGCGCGCGCAGCGCCAAAGGCATTGTCGACGCAGTCGTCGACCGCATCCCCAACCACGTGAAGCGTGCAACAGACAAGGACCTGGACAAATGGCTCGGACAAAACGAGGACCGGCCCAAGGCCATCCTCTTCACGGAGAAGGGCACAACCGGCGCGCTGATCCGCGCCCTGGCAATTGACTTCCTCGGCGCAATTGACATTGCCCAAGTACGAAACAAAGAAACCGTCTCCGTGAAGAAGTACGGCGTGACCGAGTTGCCGGCCCTTGTCCTCATCCCCGGCACCGACGCCGAGCCGAAAATCTACGCCGGCGAGCTGAAGAAGAAGCCCATAACCGAGTTCCTGAGCCAAGCGGCGACACCAAACCCAGACGTGTCACCCCGTTCCGCCTCCAACTCCAAGCCCAAGTCGAAACCAAAGTCCAAGCCCGCTTCTAAGCCTACCGTTGTCGACGACGCCGAAGACCTCAAACCCACCGCCTCCCAGGACCAGGACGAAACAGACCCCTCCGCTAAGCCCGTTCAGGTCCCCATCCCCGCTCCCCCAATCCCGACCCTCTCCACCCCCGAATCTCTCGAGTCAGCCTGTCTCGCACCGAAGTCCGGCACCTGTGTGCTAGTCATCCTCCCCGAGGCGAGTGAGCCCGACGCCGCGCTTCCAGCGCCCGTTACCGAGGCACTCGCAAGTGTCGCTGAGATCGGTCACAAGCACGCCCACCGTGGAACGCACCTCTTCCCGCTGTATGCTGTCCCTGCTATCAACACTGGGTCCAAGACTCTGCGCGAGGCATTGTCGTTGGATGGCCAGACGGTTGAGATTATCGCGTTGAATGCGCGTCGCGGTTGGTGGCGTCGGTTCAGTGGTGCTGATGCGGACTTCGGGGCTGTTGCTGTTGAGTCTTGGGTTGATGCGATTCGGTTGGGTGAGGGTGCTAAGGAGAAGTTGCCTGAGGGCATTGTTGCCGGTGTTGAGGCTGAGGCTGAGCCCGAGGTTGAGATTACGCCTGAGGCGGAAGCTGAGGTTGAACCTGAAGCTGAGACGGCCGAGGCTGAGACTGAGACCAAGGCTGAGGCCGAGGAACAGGTCGTTGAGCATGACGAGCTGTGATCATTTCACAGTCCATGGAAGAGGTCGATGCTAGTTGATGCTAGTTTGGTGACCTTTATCTAGTCTTCATTTTTTTCTTCTAGTTTTGAAAGCGAATCGCATAAGCTTATGTACCCAATGCATCAAGCCGTTAGGGAATAACTTATAACCGATCTATACGGATCGATCTGTTGTAGGCATAATAAACACATGATTCATATCTATGTACAAGAGACAGATATCCTGTGGAAACATGAACCTTGAAGAATACAGACAAATACTAGACACAAGCAAGTCTTTCTAGACCCAAGAAACCGAACACCGTACATTAATGCAGAAAGAAAACTGTCCAGACCCTAAATCATTCAGCGCTTTTTGCGGCCCTCGGTGCCCTTCTTGATCATCTTTTGTCTCTTCGAGTCAATCTCCTTGTCGTAGATGTCGCGCGCGGTCTCGACCTTCTTGCGCTTGGAAGACTTAGAGTTGTCAGGTCCATCACTGTGGGCTGGAAATCAGTTATTGTTGTTTCGATGGACAGGAAACGTGATTAAAACTTACGGGTTAGATGCGGCCAGAGCACGCTGCTTGGCGAGCATCTCCTCATCGATCTGCTTGCCTCCTTCGCGGAGCTCATCCTCTAGGCTGATAGGCAGGGGCTGGAGGTTGACTTCGGGCTCGTCATCGTGAGCGGCAGAGGTCTCGATACGGACCTTCTGTGCGGGTAGAGATTGCTCAATGTCGCTCTCGATGAGATTGCGGAAGTGGGTGGAGATCTTGCGGACAATCTTGAGGAACATGGCGAGGAGCTGGGAGGATGGGAGGTTCAGCTCCTTCTCGAGGTCGTCGAGGTTCTTGTGCTGCAAGCCGATGGCGAGGAGGATGGATTGTTGCACGCCGGAGAGGCTGATCTTGCCATCGAGACGGTTGGAAAAGTAGTAGTCGGAGAGAGCGGGGACCAGATCCAGGATGACGTGGTAATCCAAGAGGTTGTTGGCGTAGCTGTCCAGACGCTTGAGATCGAAGGGCGAGAAAGCGACATCAAGGTCGGACTTCTGCAGCAGGCGCGGCTTGAACTTCGGGTCCTTCTTGGCACCGGAGTTGGCAGACTCGCAGATGCTGAGGGAGAGGACGGACGGGAACTGTCCGAATTGGTAGGACATCAGCGCGAGGAATCGCTTGTGGAAATCGCGCGCATAGGCGCTCAGCCAGGCGTCGTCCGTCTCTCCGGTGGAGAGGGTGCGAACCATCACGCAGGAGTGCTCTCCGGTTAGTTCGTTGGGGGTCTGACGCAGATACACGGGGACGAAAGAACCGCGCTTCCAGAACTTGTGGAGGGATGGGGTAAGACCGTAGCTGACACCGATGTAGTCGAGGACATCAGGGCGACGTTCAGTCAGCTTGCCGAACAGCGGAGGCATGGAGCGAATGTCTCGGACGTGGACGTTATCATCCAAGAGGCTAGAACCGGCGAGCTCTTCGTCCGTAACACGGACCATTTGCTCTTCGGCGGCAGTGTTCTCCTCCTCCAGGTTGGTGAACTTGCCCTCGAAGAAGTCGACCAGGAGCTCCATAGCCCGGGAACCGTATCCCATACCCACATATTCGGGGTTGGTTGCGATACGGACAACACGAGCACCGGAGAGACTGGCGAAGTTCTCATCCTGGAACTGCTGGCTGACCAACCAAGGGATGAGATCACCTCCTGCGCGCTGGCCACGGCTCAAACTGTTAAGCACACTCTGGCGACTGATGCGACCTTCAAGAGCGACCTGAATGACGCACAGTGGCTCGGGCAGCTTAGTAGCCCCCTCATCGATAGGCGGGACGAGGACATAGAGTTGATGAGCGGGAGCATCACTCATAAGTTGAAGGTCGTTGGGTGTGTTCTTGTAGTGACTAGCAACGTAAAGCGCCATCATCTGCTGCAAGAACTTCTCGGAAACAGGGTGGAAGGAGAACAGGGTATCGCGGTTGACCTGAAGAAGCTGGCATTGCGAGGGGTGAGGGCAGCCCTGTGTGTTCATGTGCGACTTGGGAAGAGTTGCATCGAGGCAAAGGACCTTGTTCAGCCACTTCTCAACAGAATCACCCGGGGCATATCGAATGGGCTCTGCGAGAGTGATCTCTCTCAAGGTTCGACCGGTGAGGTTCTTGTCGGCACCCTTGGCTGACTTGCCTGTGCTGCGGTCGGCGACGTCGGTATCGTCTGTCTTGACTCCACTTCGGGATTGTTCCCGCAGCTGCTGAATCAACTTCAGAGACAGGGACCGGCCCGTGCCTTCGTATCCATTAATAGTGGAGGACATGAACACCAGGTAAGGCCCCATCAGCTTGCGCACCAATGGTAGAGGGATAGCTGCAGCCTCATCGATAACGAGAAGCTCTGCCTGTCCCAAGACTTGCGCATCCTGGGGCTGGATGTACTGGATGGTTTGGCGGTGGTTGCGGTGAATGTTCACGCGCACAACGGCCTTATTGAAGTCGGGGTTGGTCGACTGCAAGATGGTGTAGTCAACGTGATCGAGATATCCAAGTGCATCGAAGCCCTTGAAAATGAACTCGAAGAGTGTCTTCAAGTTTTCTGGGCTGGGAGAAGTGATGAAGATGTTGCTGTAGCCGTGAGCGACAGCCGCGGCAATGGCGACACCGAGAGCGGCGGACTTTCCTCGTCCACGACCGGCAGTCAGTGTAACAGTGCTCTTCAACGTCTTTTCAGCGATAGCATCAACAAAGGTCAGGAGCGCCTTCGCTTGATCCACGGTGCGAGCCAAGTTGAGCAGAGGGCCCACGGGCTTAGAGTCGGCTAAACTCTCCTTAATTTCCTTCAATTCCTTTTTCGTGCCGAAAGCTGACTCGTCGGTTGTCTCAGGAGCGGGAAGGGGCTTCACGGTCTTGCCGCCGGAGATGGGCAACACGTTCAGCTCGTCGTCGACCACCAGACACGAATCGCAGCTTCCGAGGGACAGGATGAATCGCTCGTTGAAACGAGCTACAACATCATCGTGGGCCTCTGTTCGGTATCGCGAGTGAATATCCATGGACATGGTGTAA